AACACAGTGTTTGCTGCTACAACTACACATGTTTCTTTTCCAACTATTTATTTATGAGTGACTTATGTATGTATGTGTATATATGTATATATTGTACTATTCTTAGTTAGTGTATTGTCTGTCTTGTCTTAATGTTGGTTTATAATGGAGCACTGTAACAAAAAATAATTTCCCCCAGGGATCAATAAAGTATTCTGATTCTGATTCAGAATCTGTTACCACGGCAACTCAGACTCAGAGTTGAAGTGGATCAAAAAAGTTTAAATCCCGAGTGTGTGTGTGTGTGTGTGTGTGTGTGTAGTTTTCACCGACCTGAGCTCTGACTGAACACTGCTGCACATCCTGTGTGAATGTGGAATGCTACAAAACACTACCAGACACTTTACACTCACAGTCCAAGTGTTCGTTCTCTCACACACACACAGATTGATCACTAATTATTAATCAAGGATTTCTGCAGTTGCTCTACAGTCAGAATAATCAACCACTGATCGTTACGGACTCTTAAAGACCAAAACTGAAGTTTAAATCAAGTCAGACCTCAGACCCATCAGGTCGACTCTGAGCTCGAGAACCTGCTGGGGGTGGATGAAGTTGTGTAGATTCCCACAGGAACACCAGCTGAGGTCACGCATCAAACCTGTGGATTCTGTTGAATAAACGTTCTCCACCTCTGTGTACGAGTCAGAAAAATAAAACACCTTCAAAGAAAATCTGAAACTTTTATTTCTAAAATCCAGACAACTTCCTGCTTTGATCTGAAAATCTCTCTCTGTAGCAGCTGATGTAGGAGGAAATATGACAGGATGATGTCAGCTCACTGTGTGCAGAAACAAAGTAAAGGAAACCATGTGATCAGATCAGAGGAGGCGGAGCTAAAGGTGAACAGCGACTGGTTTTAATTGGCTCAAAGAAACTCCTTCGCAGGTAAAACAGGAAACGGCGCCACTCTGCTCACAGTTCACAGGTCACAACTAAATGTGGGCTGCTCTCTCATTGGCTCAGAGTCCCGGGAGCAACCAATCAGTCCACATATGGAAGAGAAAAAAAAACGAAAACCGAAGAGGACAAACATAACGAGACGAAGAGGAAGCTGAACTCCTGGAGAAGACGAGACAACAAAAAGAACCTGGAATAAAATAAAGGAGGGGGGCGGAGCCGTAAGAGCTCCTCAGTCTGTGCAGCGGTCACATGATGCCGTTGGTGAGGTACTGGAAGCCGTCGTAAAGTTTGGTGGTGAGCGACCTCATGGAGCCGTCCACCAGCTGATCGATGAGCAGCTGCAGCTGCTCCTCCGTCAGGCTCATGTGGAAGCGCTCCTTCAGGCCGCGCATGGTGCTCGAGCCGTGGAAGCAGGGCAGCTGGGAGCCTGGGGGCACAGAGGGCGGAGTTAGTGCTGCGGGGCAGGGAACCGCCACCAGGAGGAGCTGTGGCAACTCACCTTGCTGCATGATCTCCACGATCTGCAGCACGCGCTCCATGTGCTTCCTGGCTGCGATCAGGCCCTGGAGCATCAGCATCTTGTAGTAGTTAAACATGTCGCCATCAGGCCCGCCCATCACCTGACAGACGAGGCTCGGGGTTAAAAACAACCTGACATATCACACCAAGGGCTCAAACCTCCCACTGAAGCCTCCCTCAGCCCTCCTCCTCTAACAGGAAGCCCCGCCCCCTGGCTGTACTCACGTCCACAAACTCCGCGGTTAGCTTGAAGGCGGACGTCTCAAAGCCGAGGTTTCTGGGCGAGCTGGACAGGATGAAGCCGAAGTCGATGTGGATGATGTGGCCTTCGGCGTCCAGCAGGATGTTCCCGTTGTGCCTGTGAGAAGGGAGGAGCACATTTAGTGCGGCGCTCGGACGGCGTACACAGGTGCGAAGATGTCACAGACTCACCTGTCTTTGACCTGCAGCAGGTAGCAGATGAGGCTGTAGCCGGCGCAGCTCTGCACGAAGTTCCTCTGCGCTGTGAGAAAGGCCTCGGTGGTGGGCGCGCCGTGCTCCTGCAGGAAGTAGTCGAGCAGCGACAGCTGACTCTGCTTCTTCACCTGGTGCAGCGACACGGCGTTCACCACGGGCTCGATCATGCCGCTGTCCGCCGACAGCACCAGGATCTTATACGGCTTGATCCACAGCGGCACGCGCTCCTGCTCCCAGATCGACTGCCGTCCGCGGCGCCGTCACATGACACAGAGAGGAGATGATGAGAAGAAGAAGGGCGGAGGGACAGGTGTGAGGTCGTGTGATGAGGTGGTGTTACCTGCAGCTGCCGCAGCACCTGGAAAGCGAGCAGCTCCTGCCGCAGGTCGTCTCCACACTTTACAATGACAGACAGGAGCCTCCAGGTGGGCAGGTGTCCGTACGGAGAGCCCTCCCTGATCCTCCTGTAGGAGACGCACGGGGAGTCATCGTCACCAACGCCATCACCAGAGCACACCGCACGCGCTCAGTAAACCTTAGGACACACCCACCTGACTTTCTCCTCCCACGGCTCCTTCAACGCCACCGCCGACGGGTCCTCAGGGTCCCGTTTGAAGGTGGTGGGGGCCTGGGCGAGCTGCTCTGAGAGACGCCGCCTGAAACACACAGCATCATTCCTGCAGCTGTACTAACTCGGTGCGCTGAGTCAGGTAAACCGAGGGAAAGATATTTCTGTACGTGTGAGTACTCTGACCTGATGTCTCCGGCGGCGATGAACACGGGCTCTTTGCTCTCCAGGCTGGTGATGCTGTCCACCGAGAACTGGCTGATGTTATCACAGCTGTTGGTGTGAGTCTCCGGGAGCTGCAGGGGGAGGAGCATGAGGAGTGGATGTGTGTGTGTGTGTGTGTGTGTGGGGGGGGGGGGGGGGGGGGGGGGGGGGGGGGGGGGGGGGGGGGGGGCGACAGAAGGAGGAGTGGTCAGTGTCTCCACGAGGAAACTGCTCTGCAGACTGAGCTGCTTGCTAACCTTCGAGTACTGGGATCAATACTGCGGCTGAACAAGACGACGGTGAGAGCTTCCGCACGCCGCCCCAGAAAGGTGACGGCCATCTTTATTACCGTTGTGTGTGGCGTGCAGCAGCGTGCTCTGACTCGTGTTTTTCACTGATCATTAATGAAGCTGTGACATGACAGCGTCTGAGGTCAAAGGTCAAATAACAGGTAACGGTGCCATCACACAGATCTCACCTCCGTCTGCGTCGCAGCATGTTCTGGAACCACCTGACTACCGGGCTATGACATCACATGCTCACCTCCACCTGCAGCTCTCCGATGTCGTCCACGGACCACGCCTCGTCGTCGTTGTCATAGTTTGGAACGACCGAGAAGCTGCCGGCTCGCTGTTCCGGCGTCATGCCGCAGTCTGGCAGGTTCTCTACAGAACGCGTGCTCCTGATCCGGTTCTCTGGGATCCGAATGGGAACGCTGGACGTCTCAAAGTTCTCACACTCCAGAACCTCCACATAGATCAGGTACGGCGCCTGAGGGGAGGATATAGGTCACATTACTGATGAGGTCACGGGTAACAAGACGTTATCTGACAAGCGTTTCACCTGGGCTGCCGCCGGCAGTCAGCCTTCCGCGGGCGGCGCTGTGAACTCTCACCTTGTCTTTAGAGTTGAGCACCACGGCCTGAGTGTGCGGCACTCGCACCACGTGGTGGTCGAAGGCGGAGGTCGGCAGCCATACGCGGGCCGGCAGCTTGTGGTTGAGCAGCGACAGCTCGGAGATCAAACGCTGCGTCTTCTGCTCTTTGGTGGGCAGTGTGGCGAGACGCTTCCCGATGCCCATCAGAGACTTGATGAACTCCCTCTGAGGGGCCAGGCGCACCGGCTGCAGGCGAGACACACACAGTCAGAGGGCGAGGGGGAGGGGCTTACGGCTCTGCCTGTCACAGCAGACCAACTCAGAGCGAGAGAGAGGTGAAGGTTTGATGTTTGTGTGTCAGGTTCAGATAAAGTGAGCGAGCTCAAACATGAAGGCCGAAGTCACAATCACCTGACCCCGCCTCAAGTGTTCAGTCTGCTCGCTGAAGTGAACAGTCTCTGATTTTTAGGGCACTTTTGTTTTAACGGAGACACAAAATTGACCAACAAAACCCAGAAAAACACACAAAAGTTACAAACTGATCCTTATAACCAGCCCGCCTCCCACAGATCACAGTGGGTCACATGATCGCAGCCTGAAGGGGACACGAGACCATCGGTGGGAGGAGCCTGTCAATGATCTGAAGGCAGCTGAAAGCTTCTAAACCCAAACCCAAAGAGCATGACCCAGTAAAGACCGACCCCACCGTCAGGCACGGCGGGGGAAACTCTGAGCCGACAGACGGGACCACACACGGGAAAACTTCGGCCCAGAGCACGGCTGAAGAAAGGTCCCAAAACAAAGCAGGGGCTAAGAAAGAAGCACATCAGGGTCACGCGGTGTCCGAGCGACCTCCGCCCTGCAGGAACTCTGTAGAGGGAGCTGAAGCTCCTACAGAGTTTCTGCAGAGAGGAGCCCAGAATCCTCCAGAGATATGAGCCAGCTGACCAAGGCGTTCTCCACCGAGGACAGACGCGTGCTTTTACGTTCTGTCTCTCCGTTAACATCAAAGTTTCACAAAAGTCTCAGACTGTTCACATCTGTGAGCAAACCTTTTCTGTATCCGAGTATCAGTGTATCCGAGTACTGGCAGTGAGTGGAGACAAACCTGACACACAAACGATGGAATCACGAGGACGATCAGATCCCGATTGGAGTACAGCCCGAGTCCGCAGACGTGACGCTCACATGTCATTGCTTGAGCACACGTCTGTGACTGAACCAGAACCAGAATAGGAGCCCACACACTTCATTTCCCACAATGCACCTGGAGCTCAGAACAGGAAGCAGCTGAACTTACGGGACGGGAATCGAACTCCAGACTGTCGGAGCTGGAGCTGCAGTCCTGAGGGTCAGAGGACGGGAGGTCAGAGTCAGACAGGCTGAGAGTCGTGTACAGGTGTGCTCGCTCTAAGCTCACCTGTCCTGGAGGTTTAACCTTCAGCGGCCTGATGCGTTCAGAAATCGGCGCTGCCTGGGCCCGTGACGAGCCTTTATCACTTTACACGCACGAGCTACAACCTGAGCTCAGCTGGTGTTAAACGCCTGTGGCTGCCTCACCGTTACAGTAAAAGTGGGCGGAGACAGCATCAGTACCGCCGCTGGTGTCTAACAGACCACACCCTGAGTCGCCCTGGTGCGTCACCTCATCTCTTAAACTGAATGTTCGCCATGTGCAGACACACTGCAGGCTGCCATGTTTCCACGGAGTAACCTCCCTCATCATCCTTGTCATCACAAAGCACTGCAAGGCGTCTGTGGTTCTGTTCTTATATAAATAAAGCTGAATTGAACTGATCGGATGTTTGTTTGTTTGGATGATTCCAGATGTTTCACATCGATTGGCTCCAGGTCCTCGGCCACATGGAGCCACGGTCTCTAATCTGCTCATTGATTGGCCAGTGATGGAGTGCTTCCTGTTTGTTGAAACCTCCTAGGACCTGGGTCCACATCTGTGGACATTTTGGGTTGTCTAGACCACAATGCTACATTTTTGCTCTCGGAGGGTAAAATATCCTCTTCATCGGGTAAAAAGATCATTCTTTGTTTCTACATTTGTCGGGTCCCAATCAGCTCAAATAGCAAAGAGGGATTAAAAATGCACGCCCTGAGAGACTTCGGGTCTTAGGAGGTTAAAAGCTGAAATTTGTTTGAACAAATGAATTCTGACCTGCAGATACCTCCCACAGGGCACGATCACCTGACTCGTTTCACTTCAAAACCTGATCAAAAACATGGTAAAATCCAGTCGATGGATAAAGAACCACCAGCTGCGGCGAGTGATCGGCAGCCAGGATGTTCTGGGAAAACTCCCTTGGTGGGTTAACTGCACCCTCCAAGGGCGGGCTGTTACCTCGTCTTGGCTGGTTTCCACCTTCGGATTGCTCGCCGTCCTCTTCAGGTTGCTGCTCAGGCTGATGCTGACCGTGGCGTCCGACTTGGAGCGCTGATGCGTCCTCTTTGTGGGCGATAGGCTGTGATCTCCTCCCAGGGGCCCGGGGCTGACGATGGGGGGCGCCGCGGGACAGAACGGCGTCAGGGCGAGGGGGTCCCTGCGGACCCGCGGCCCGGCGGGCTTCAGTTCGTCGGACAGGATGAGCTTCCTCAGCTTGGTTCCCCGGGAGTGGCGCTGCGTGGAAATGTGCATGTCGGACGAGTAGGCGCCGAGCAACCAGGCGCACTGCAGGCTGAAGGAGATGCTCTGCCTGCAACGATGCACCTGCAGGAAACAGGAAGCAGTCAGCTGATCGACCTTTAACCCCTGCTCTGATTGCGTGTTCAGACAAAAACGGCAAGTTTCACCTCGGAGTTCAGATTTAAAGATTTACTTTTCTGGTCTGTCTGCCTAGAGCGAATCACACGGCAGCACTCGGCACCACCTCCGTTTCTGACTACAGGTGATCAGCTGTAACGATTGGGTAGCACTTTAACAATTTCCTGCCTTCATGGACATGGTCCCGCCTCCATCCACGGGTGAAATGCCATGTTTGGTCTGAACACGCTGCGTGGTTTCCTCCATGCAGGAATACAGAATCTATCGACAGCATTGATAACGTGAGTGATCAGTAATGTGAGGTACAGGTGCCGTTCAGGTTCTGGTCCACAGTCAGAGCGTCACCTGGCCATCGGCGCGCGCAGGTCTACCAGAACTGACACGAAAACAAGTCATCTCACGTAACCCTAAGGTACGGTAATCTAAGGACGGTAATCTAAGGTGCAGTAAGATAAGGTACAGTAAGCTAAGGTACGGTAATCTAAAGTACAGTAA